GTTAACTGTCTCTTACAATTGGTTGAGATAAGACACCTGTTACCTATGTTGCACCAGCATGACTGGCAGATTACATAGTATTTGTATAACAGTCACATAACATTGCCTTTAGAACAAGGTCTGTAGTTATATAAAGGAATGCAAACTGGTACTGGGCAGACAAATCTACAATAAGTCCTCATAGTCATGTAAATTATAAAAACTGAATAAAGTAAGATGAAAGCCCACTTGAAAGACCTAAATAAAGAGATAATCTGAACTTTTAACAGTGCTACTGTAAAGACTAGACCTATAAAACAGAGCTAGAACTTGTAAAACTAGGCAAATATACTAGTTTTTGAGAAGAGACTAGATGAACTAATCAGGCTGCCAAAATTTTTAGATTTTAGAGAAAAAGGTTATATGTTAGCAAATATGTAAACCAGAGGTATATGGTTATGACTTGCCTTTTTGAGTTATCTGAGTTGACAGCTTGGTAGAACTTGAATTGAATACCAAAGTAATATAAATATGTTATAAAGTTAGTACTGGAGTTGGGATGAACTCTACAAGAGCATAGTGGTTTAATAGTACACCTTAATCATCAGTATTAATCTTGGCTATAGTAATATTAGATTAGCTATAAGAATGAAATACAGAAGATTTTGGAAGGTTTAGTACAAGATCAAAGATTCCTTATATAAATAAACTGTTTTAAAGACTTAGTGATTATGGTATATTTCTATTAATATTGACCAGAGTCATTGGTAGACAAAAGTAGGTGGTTAGATACAGAAACTAGAATAGTTAGATAGAAAACCTATAAGCAGATTCTAGATATAGCAGCTAGTATAGAACCTTTGGGCAGACTACTTAAATTAGACAATGACTAAAGTTGTATAAATAGCTAGTTGTATACTCTTTTCATAGTTGGCTTTTGTGGTTGTAAAGCATTTATTAACCAAATATACTACCAATAAAATTTTTTTTTTTTTTTTTTTTTTATTAAGGTGACCTCTTTGGTCTTTTGACTTTTATTAATTACTTATCGGTAATGTAGTTCAATAAACTACTACAGAAGAGCATACAATTGGTTATACATATAACTTTTCTATATTATCTATTTAAGGAGTCTATCTGAAAGTTTTGCATCAATTGCCATACCTAACACTCCTGCTTGAGTATTCTACTTTAAACCCTTTGAACCTGTAATCTGTATTAACATCACTGGGTTATCCTAGATGCCCAGATCATCATCTCAACTTTAGGACTAATTTATCTTCAAGGTAAACCCCTTAGAGCCTTCTGTATCTATTTTTACAACTGATCTAGGTATCATTATAGCAAAACCAACACTTGCAGTTAGGGCTGACCATTAAACTGCTATGCTCTTGTAGAGTTCACACAAACCCTAGCATCTACTTTATAGCATATCCAAAATATTTTAGTATACCCTTGCTGGTTCACCAAACTCCTAATCCAGATAGCCTGATAAGACTTACGACCAGTCTGTTGGTATATCAAGTCAGCTTGATATCCTTTTCCTTCAACTCAATCCAGTGGTCTGGTTGGTGGTACTTCCATCTAGAGGTTTTTGCCTGTCTAGCTACTTTGACTTTGATATTCATTTTATAAGACTAGCCTTTATAGTAGGACTGTCAAAGATCTGGTTACCTCTCCACTCAGATCTTTCCAAATAGACTTCTTGTTATCTAATTTCAATGGATTTACATGGCCACAAGGACTTATCTAGTATTTGTAGCACCTAATTGCTGGTTTGCATTTTTTCATGTAATCACAACTTTGTTCCAAAGGACAATGTCATGTGACCTGTTACATAAATGCCCTATAACCTGCCAGTCATGCTGATGTGACCACCATTACAGGTATCCTAACCTAATCATTAGTAACAGTTGCTATAATACAAATAATATATAGGTGATTATTCAAATTTTTACTGTTGATGGGATTTGAACACCCAACTTACCACTTGGAGGGTTGACAACCTGACCACTTCACTAGGTTGCCACACTCTTCAATAAAATTCTAAATCACAAGTACTTACCTTAATATTTAAAAAAAAAAAATAATTATATAATATTAACTACAAAAATACTAAAATTATATTATAAAAATATGTTTTTTTTATATAACAAATTTAGTATAATAACACAAATTAAATGAATGAATAAAGAATAAATAATAGATAAATAATAGAAAAAAAATCTGCTATTATTTTACTCTATATCTATCAAATAATAACAATATAATAGCAACATAACAGTTAAATAACAGTAAAATAATAGGAGGTTTGTCAATATGAATAACATAATAGTAACATAATAGCAAAATAATAGAACAGTTCTATTATTTTACTTTTAATCTTTATAACTAAAAGTAAAATAATAGAACTGTTCTATTATTTTGCTATTATGTTATTATTATATTATTCATATTGACAAATCTTTTGTTATTTTACTGTTACTGTATTTAACCATTATGCTGCTGTTATGCTACCATCATTTGGCAAATATAGGATAGAATAATGACAAATTTTTTTCTGTTATTTACCTATTATTTACTCTTTATTCATTTGTTTGACCTATGTAAAATAAATAAAATTTGGTTAAATAAAAAAAATAATATTTTAAATATTAAATTATATATATATATATATATTTATTTCTTATAATAATATAGTTAACTTATTTTTGCAAAAATGCTATATAAGCTATATTTTAATTAACTAATCTTCGTATACTTATTTAAGATTGTATAATATAATTTTAATAAATAAAAAAATTCATTAAAATAAAATCTTTTATTAACATATATTTATAAAATATTATTATAGTAAAAATTGCAAAGCTGTAACTTTTTATTTTAAAAAGTTAAAAAAATACTTTTAATTAGCTACTTGTATATAAATAAAATTTATTTATAACAATTTATTACACCTAATAACTTCGTATTGGTCAATAGTAGTTAAAATGTAAATTATATAAATCTTTGGTTAATATATACGTAAGTAAATTGTAAAAAATAAGTGTGTAACACAATGTTACAATTAGATTTATGTTAGGATATTTTTTTAGTAACTTTAATAAAAAAACATTTAATTAAAAATTAACAGTTATCAAACAAATTTATAATACTTTATAAAAAATTTTTTTTTAATAAATTCCAATAGGACAAGGCCCCGCCTTAATATAAAAAATTATTATTGTCTTAAACTTTTTTTCAAACCCGTTACACTTTTTTTTTTTGCAAGATAATTAAACTTTAGTGCAAAATTATTGCATGTCACTATCTTTCTAGTCGAAATCTATTTTTGAATTAGATGCAATTAGAAGCAACGAATCTCAGAGATATCTGATACTTAAAAATTCTTTTGCAGAGTTTCTCAAACGATTAAAAAATTTTTTAAAACTTTATTAAGAATTGTAAAAGTATTCTAAATTGTATAAATTCAACTGTATAAGTTGACAAATAATGAAAAGTCGATTTTTGACATGATCAGTTTTGATTTTTTATATGTTTGCATATGCATACATTTTGCATACAATTACGTGTAACATCAAACTATTTTTTGATATCGATATGCATTGATTACACTAAGTAGTTAAACACAATATTACTTTTGTCCATTGTTCAATGCGACATAAATAACACGTTAGCCAATTTACACGTGATAATATTATCTTCGCGTATTTATAATCTTTTATGTACATATGTATATATGTATATATCGATATGTGTTATTGACATATCTTACAATCAAGATCTAAAAATACTTTAATAAACAACCAATTACATACTGTACCAATGAATTATTCCAACAACATACCCGATACTAACTTTCCAAATTAAATTAAGAAAAAACAAGTTTAGTACAAATGAAGTTGACTACATTTTTAAATATAGCTCCCGGTTGGTTCGTGCGTTCTCCTCCTTGATTAAATAATCATAATAAATGAACAACTAATTATTCAAGTCATTGAAAATATGCTTAATTAAGAAAGGTATTGAATAAATTTCAGTAAATTGAATAAAGAACCAATACCATCAATAGATATCTGAATAGATTCCTTTAGATTAATAATAATTTGTCATTACCCGTTATCATTATCGTTTTTTGATTAACGGTGTCAAAGTCTTGTGTAGTGTGGCGCAGATTAATAAATCTACGTCATCATTTAAAGTTGATCCTGTTTTTTTTTTGTGCTCTTAGACAGTTCTCTATTTCAAAGTATATGAAAGCCATGCTCCTTTTATTACTATTGCTATTACTGGAAATATATACTACCTTGACTTTGAAGAGTTTAGTGAAAAAAAAGTAAAATACAGAAATTTTTGTTTTCGAGCTTATTGAGAAATAAATGTGCATGATCCAGTCATGGAAAAACTTGCGATGCATTTTATTATTTTTACTACAACTAATAAGCCTTCAAATATGTTTAACTACATACTTGTACTTACACACAACTTCATTCCTCAATCAATATGTTAATTACATTAAAAAAAAATAAAAGAAAAAATAATGGAAACAAGAAATTAAAAAATCAAATAAAATTTCAAATCTTATTTGTGAAGAGACCAGCTCGAAAAAAGCATGTTCGGATTTAAAAAAAAAACAAATCGAGATAAAAAAAAAAGAAAAAAAAGAAATCGTCGAGGGTTGGGATGTACTAATGTAAATATTTAGAATTGGGGTAATAAAAGTAGTCAATTACAAAGATGAATAGTTTTAAAAATTATAAAAGAGTTAATCGAGAAAAATTATGTATTAACATTAATTCTAATAAAATATATGCACTGCAAACAATTTGTGAATGAAGAGAGTTCCTTTTGTCAATTTCGAATTTTAGTTTAACACTGCCGCAATGGACATAATGTTAAATTTCTGTTTATGATTGACTTTAGCAGTCTCCCTAATTGTAACAAATATCGAGATATGAAGATGAAAATCACGACTTAAAATTATCGATCAAAAGACAACATTATTTTCTAGTACAGTATTATTACCTTGCATTCTGAATCGCTAAGTCTGCAAGTTGCTCTAAAGCTGCTGTACAATTATGATGATGATTATGATGATATATTGGAACAGGAGACGGTATTGGAGTATAGGTCGGTGTTGGAATAGAGATGTATTTATTTGAAGGAGGACTATAGTTATGAGTAGGACAGTTCAAATCAAGACATGGAATCTCTACGGCTTCAGGACTGGAAATTGGAGTCTTTAAAGAATGCCATGAATTTACTTGATGACGCGTTGGATAACGATGGCCTTCAGGAATCCACCGTTCAACGGGTGAATTTTCCAGTGAAATTGGTTTAAATGATTTTTTCCGAGAATTAGAATGCTGTGACAGTTCTAAATATTAGAAAATAAATAAATATATATACACTGTATGCATCGATATGTGTTAATAAAATAAACTTGAATAAATTCTTTACCGTCATTACTTAGAGAAGCCGATGTAGTAGCAACTTTAGTAATCCGACATTTTTTTGGTCTAGGGGAAGCACAAGCACTACTTGTGGAATCATCTGAATCATCTATCGCGGCATGGTCACGTTTTTTAGACAGTGAAGAATAATACCGATTTTTTATTAGATTAGCTGGTCTTCTTAATAATTGACTCATTACTGCCCATTTTGTGCCCATTTCGGAATAAAATGACAGTATTTTTTTGTCCTCTTCGGGAGTCAAGGGTCCATATGTTACTAAGATTGATTCATATTCAAGGTAAGGTTAACGGAATGAATAAGGAAATGATGTAGAATAAGCGAATTTACATTCACTTACAATCAGGGTTTAGATGATTATGCCATCTACTTGGAGAAAGGGGATTAGTTGTAGTAAACGAAAAACTATTGAATTAAAAAAAATAATCTTCTTTTAAAATGTTTACCGTTCGCGACATTGCTTTCCATCACGTAGACCATGTCTAATTCCGATGAGTTTCCAATGCTTAACTCCTAATTCTCTTACTATCTCTAGTAGTTTTTCGTCTTCCTAACATTGATCCATATTCAAAAGTAAGTAAATATAATGATTTGTAAGGTGTGTTCGTGTGATATCAAACCTGAGGTTCCCAAGGGCCCGTCCTGCGGGATGTGTTATCTCGTGGCTCTTTTCGAGTTCTACGTGTATTCATAATATGAATTTTGAATAGTTGTGAGTGGATAACGGTATGTAAGAAGTTTGTGTTCGAACTAAGAGTTTAAGGAGGATGAAAAATGAACTGTTATTGAAAAGGGTAGGCAAGAGGAAGGAAGGAATGTGAGAAAATCTAGGAGTTCGAGCGTGAGTGATAAATGGATGGAAGGTTTTGGAAAGCGTGAATTTAAAGATACTGGCAAGGACAGCTTATTTAATGTAGGAAAAAGAGCGCGGAGACTGCCAAACTGCCGGCACAAAATTTAAGCTAATCTTTTTTGTTTTTCAAGAGATTTAGAAAATAAAAAAATTTTGTTTGTTCCTCGATATTTTTATAAAGTTAACAAACATGGGAAAATACGGAGTCAGCTGTGCGTGCGTTTTAATCAAAGTTCGATTCAAAAAAACATTGATCAAAGAATGATAATTGTTATAAAAAAACGCTTTTTATTTATACGTCCTCAAAAAAAAAAAAAAAAAATCCCTGCATCTTCTATCTAAAATTGCAAGTTTTTTTTTGTTCTGGTGCCTTTGTAGTGATGGTCGTATATGGAAAGGTTTCGTTGATGCATTTCTATAAATAAGATTTCAAATCTCCGGATTTAAGCTTTTTTTTTTTTTTTAAAAAAAAAAAAGAAGGAAGGAAAAGAGACGTCCAATAGCAGGGTACACGAAATTTTTATTATCAGGGAGTCCTAAAATGATTATTCATTGTTGATATAATCTGTATGTTTGTGGACAACAATGCAGTTCATATACCTCCGCGCTGGATGATCGATGCGATTTTTGGCGCTGGAACATAAAGGAAAGTATTTAACGAAATTTCTTGATTGTATGGACCATGTCAAACGAAGCATAGATTTCATTATTCCTCTAACCAAATTAAGTAGTTTATTTAGCATTCACGTGACACAATCCATTGTTTGTATTAAGGCGAATTATCTATAGTGGTTTTTTTTTTAACCGTTGTAGAGACTTTCAACGTCATTAAAATTAATATTAAAAAAACGTGTGGTTCGCAATTTAGAGGGAGCAAACATTTTGTTGCATAGGAGCGTTACCTTATAAGGTTTTCAGTCTTAAATATATTTTAAAAAAGACGTTTTATATTCACGACATTTGTTATTAATCCTGTTTTGCTTCATCCCTTAAGTTTACTAATCAAAATTTGACCGCAAAGCGTTTATGTATGCTGCTTAAACTTGAACATGGTAGGTAAAATCGTTCGCGATAATTACAATTTCAGTCCATTCTATTAAATCTTCCAATATTAAAAAAAAAAAGCTTCGAAATTCTCAATTTCTACAAATTACTCATACTGGTAATAAGAAATCAAACCAATCTTAATTCACAATGATTAGAGCTCTGTCCAACAAATAACAATTGAGTCTTTTAATGCAACCTAATCAAACAAACGATCATATTATGATATATATATGTTAGGTGGTTTGTTATTTGGTGATTCATGCAAGTATACGTACAAAGAATCATTACGATACTGATGTAATTTTATGAGAACAACGCGCTGAATATGGTAATTGATGTAAAACACAACGGAAAAAGTCAAATAACATTTTGAAATGTAATATAGCTTACTAAATATTTATTATCTATATACTGTTTTAGTAAAAATTGCAGAATTTCCCCAGTCTTTCCGATTGTCATTATATTATTATTAAATTTAATGGTCCTCGACTTTATCTAACGTTCCTTATTCGCCAATCTTTGATAGAACAAATGAATTATCGGAACAATTGTTCTTTCGTCTGTGTAGATTGGATCTGATCTCTATTGTAATGATTAACGATCTAATTAAATCAGGTCATTGTTTGATATTATGGAAAAGTTGAAAATAAGTGATTTGGTATATTGGACACATAGTGCTTAAATAGGTTTCTGATAATCTGAATATTTAATCAATGCTATGGCAATTATCAATCACCATTACTGTGCTAATTGAAATTCTTTATATCAATACCGATACGGTTTTACTAACAATTTAATTTTCAAATTTATTGATATTTCGAGCCACATATTTGATTGTAAAAGCAAAGGATAAGTTTGCTACTTTTGATTATTTGAAGTGCATATTTAAATTATTTCTTGAATTATTTCATATAATAAATTCTTTTATTTTGCAATAATATCTGTGTACATTCGTACTTTTAAACCAACTGTTCGTATTTATTATGTTTATTATTTGTTTATTTGATTGGTTATTACAGTACCCGTTAAAAATATTCCCTCTCTGTAATTTGTTATAATAAAATAAATGTTTATAATACAAATTTTATGTATTTTTATAACAGTAAAAGAAAATTTGGCCAAATAGTTATTAAGAAATTAAGTTTAAAATTTAATATCTAATTATGTTTTAGATTTTAAAAATTAAACTTTAGAATTTGATTTTTCAAAAACTATCTTATTAAGGGTGCTCTCAAGCATCTCTCTCAATATGATCAGCTAGTAAACGAGATCGTGCACAAGCACTATAATTAATTGAGGTAATTCTTACGGCAATTTTGC